TTTTTTAATTTGAAAAATCATATACGGAATATATCTTATTTATAATTAAAATAAATTTAATCATTAATTCTTTTTAAATCTTTTTTTTATTTTGAAAAATCATTGACATAATATATTTTATTTTTAATTAAAATAAATTTCACTCATAATATGGTACATTCACTGCTTGACAGCCGACCTTTTCTCGATTTCAAAATCATTTTGGATTGGATTGGTACGTTCAAAACCGATTTCAAAACAGAAGCTAACTCTCGTTATCATACTTAACATACTCGACAGCCGATCTCGACTTATGGAATCAGACTAGTTCTTGCTCTCGCAGCTGGTCACTAACACTAAGGAGTAAACGGGCTGTGGCACGTATGCTTAAGAGGCTAAGAAAAAATGTTTTAAAAATTAAGTAGCCGAGGTCCCTTGATAGGTTCAAGTTAGGGGCCTAAGAAGAATTTTTTTTTTAATTTTTTTAGCCTTAAGTGCATACTTTAGTTAGGGTCCTATTGCTCCTATGTGCTCTAACTCCGTCCGCCCTTGGCACATTCAGTACAATAATAAACTAAGCTTTTGTAGCAGACAAAAAAATAGCTGTTTTTTTTTTTCCAAAAACAATATACTAGTCATGAGTTCAACATAAACGTAAGGTGCTTTTCGTGTCATCTAATCCATAACATTGTCACTGTATGCATAGGTTCTCACTTCCAGAGTTGGTGGTACCTTTCAAGTACCATGGGTGAGCTACGAGATATGGTATTGGACAAAACATGTAAATCCAAATACATAATGTATCCAGATATCAACAATATATACACGAGTGTGTAATACAGTTATTTGTGGTCGAGAATGAAGAAACTGATGGCATCATATGTAAAGAAAAGTCTAACATGGATACAAGTTAAGACAAAAACACGAGAAGCCATTTGGTAGCTACATCAGACGGACTTGGTGTCTACCGTGGTTGCGTACAATGATGTCTTTGACTTGATGAATTTGAAATCTGATGTGCTTGAGTTGTTTACTCTTCTAGATCTAATCATCTCGTAAATGTATGACATAGTACTTGTTAAGTGTATCACGATACCAAACGTAAGACAAGAGGGATTACTCTATCCCTTTGATTAATGATACAGTAATGACGCATCCTTGCGTCATCTGTGATCTAAAATTCAAAGACAAAAACTGTATATGTAAACTGGAAATGATCACACGATTGATGATCGGTTCAAACACTAATAATTGTTGTTTGAGTGAAGATGTTAGATTTGCTAGATGCACCTCTTCATTTATAATTATAAATATAATTTATAAAATGAGAGCTAAGTTGAGAAGCGTAAGAAAGGAATCAGACTCTTTACCACTTTTAATCTCAAACTCACCCACGAATAACGTTTGATACGAGGTTGATCCGGTGCATCTCGATGCATCTCATTTTAATGTGCATCTAAAGGTGGAGATCCCTTCTTACGCTTCTCACCTTAACTTTTTTTCTCACCGGAATCCAATCTTTTAATCACTATACTTGTAGTTTCTTTGACAGAAAATAGTTGAAACTACATGAAATAGTTTATTTTAATATAATAAGTAAATAAAATAATAAATTTAAACTGTATATACAAAATCAAACACCGTAATCTTGATTGATGTATTAATGGATGGCTTGTGAAAGTATTCGTCAATTTTAGCCCTAAAATTGACGACTGTACTTTTTGTCATCGTAACATACGCATCAAGAACTCGTATCCGGAGCACTTTTTGTGCTTTTTCGAATGGCCCCAACAAGTCGACTCATAACACGATGGCAACGTTGTAAATCAGTTACAAAAGAAGGGTATAAAAAATGTAATGATGTACCAAACCATGTTAGGTTGACCGACCAGTAATTATCGAATCATTTATTGTTTTATAAAGTGTGAGGTCTTAAATTTTATATTTAATTTGGTTAATATTATATAATTTTGTTGCAAATCATATCAATTTATAAATTAAAATTAAAATTAAAAATTAAAATAAATATGAAAGAAGACCGTTATTTAAAAAGAAAAGGTCACGCTCACGCGTCCACCCTGTCGTTTTCTTTAATTCTAAATTCTCCCACCTTGGAGATGACGAGGCATGGTCCCAATGGTAATTGGCTACAATGAAAATGGAGAAATTACAAAACACCCCTTTGTTTATTCATAAGAGTCAATAGTACCCCCTTGAATTTTGTTTTTGTAAATTGTTACATTTGTCATTTTTGGGCATTACATTTCCTATAAGACACGATGTGTATATAAAACAAAATCAAATAGACATCGAATATAGAGTTTGGAAGTGAAACGTTAGATGTATACAGACTTGTCTTATACACTAAAGATAGACCTGTTGTTTGATAAGTTTTCAGTTAAAACGTATTAATAGTTAAGTGAGCTATTTTGTACTATAATTTATCTTCTGACGAGAAACTGTACAATTAGATTAGAAAAAGATATGAACACGAACCACAAGGGTGGTGCCTGATTGGTTTGAGGTTGGCTCCAAACGTCAAAAGTACCAGGAGGTCTCAGGTTCAAATCCAATGAGGAATAAAAATCATCTTATGGCCACGGAGGTTCAAATACGATGACTCGGGGCTATCTGCAAAGCAGGTGGTCGCCTTGAGATTAGTCGGCTGGCATAGCGAGTTGGATATCCAGGTTAATAAAAAAAAAGAATAAGATTTTCATTTTTTAAAAAAAACTGTAACCTATTTAAAAACCTTTATTTTAACATTTCATATGTGATGTCTTGAATGTTTAGAACAAAGTATATTATCTATACTATATTATAAAGTATTTGACAAAAACTCTTAAAAACCATTTTTATGCACGAAGTACTGTTTATTGATGCATATTACTTAAAATTTAAAATTACAAGTAAATTGTGCATACGTACAACTTATTAAAGCTCCATATTTGAATTCATGTAACTAACTGCAGATAAATATGATCAAATATTGGATAAACATCTCATTTTAAATATAAAAAATCTAAAATATAATTAGGATAATCATAGAGTTCTAACAGAATATTTAGTTATTATCTTTTTAAAAAATTATATTATTAAACCTAAATTAAATTTCTTTATTACTAAACCTAAATAAAATTATAATTAAAACTTTTAATTAAGAAAATTACACCAAAACACAAGAACTTTTAAAAAGATTAATTTAATACTGATATGGATATTTATTTTAAAAAAATATGATATTTTTAGATTTATATTTTATTTAAAAATAAAAACATTATTGTATTCTCAAAAGCACATAAAAACGTATTATATCGACATAAAAAATGAATAAAACGAAACATTAAAATCAAGATGTGTCTCGAT